TATATATATGAAAAATTTTTAAATTCACCAAAAGTAACCTTAAAAAAAAAAGAGAAAAAAGTTAATCAATAAAATATAAACATATTATAAACAATAAAAATAAACAAATACAAAAAACAACAAAAAAATATTTAAAAAATACATTAAATACTTGTGGAAGAAAAAAAAAAGGCAGTGAAACATGGTAGAAAACAGAAAAATTAAAGGGAAAGAAAAGATGAATAGGTGGAGAGAAACAAGAAAGGAAAGAAAGGGAAATAGAAGGAAAAGAGAAAGAAGAATAAAGGAGGAGAAAAAGAAGAGAGGAAATGAGAAAGAAAAGGAAGGAGAAAAGAAAAATAGTAAGAAAAAGGAGGAGACGAAAGGAAGAAGAGAAAAGAAAGAAAGGAAGAAGAGAAAATGAGGAAATGGAAGGGAAATGGTGATATATATAAGGCTTATACGAACCGAAACCGATCCAAACATAAATAATTGGTGCGCCCCACCAAAAACTTCAATTTTTTTGGTAAACTTTTTGGCAGCATTAATTATTTACGGACTGAAATCGGTCCGAATATAAATAAATGAGTGCGCAAACGAAAAGCTTTAAATTTTTTATAAAAATTTGGCACATAAATTATTTACAGACTGAAACTGGTCCGTATATATATGTAAAACACAATTGAGTTTATTCATGTATATACAGACTGTTTTTGGTCTGAATATATACATGTAAACCCTATTAGGGTTTCACTTGGATATAGAGACCAAAATCGGTTCGTATATACATGAATAAACTCAATTGCGTTTTACATGTATATACGGATCGATTTTGGTCCGTATATATGTAAAACCCTAACAAGGTTTGTGAACACTAGAATATATTCAGACCGGGTGGGGTTTGTATATATGCCCAGCATCTAGAAACTTCTACGCTTACACTTTTTCATATCGTTTTTGGTCCAAATTTATTACAAAAAATCCAGAAAGTTCTCCTAGTGCACTCTTTTTTTCTTCTCATTTAAGGACATCACTACCTTCCTGTGGCCCGATTTTATTGTTATGAAAGCCAATTGCTTGTATATCGACACTACAGTCCTTTACAATCTCGAAACCATCAATTGACCACCTGAAATTATCTAACAATGATATAGAGTGACATTGTTACAAAACCATGAATGTATAATTATAAGGTTACTAGATTTAAGGTTAGGTAATGCCCTTTCAGAGGCGCAAACAATTAAAATTGACTTTATTCAGTTAAGGTTAACCACTTTGGCACCCACACATTCAAAATGTTATGGTTTAAAACAAGAGTAGAACGAAACAAGCACAACCTTAAACCCTAAACCCTAATGATATTCTGCATATATATACGGACCAAAATCAATCCATATATTCTAACAAGAATTTATAGATTTTGAGTTATATTGGGACCGAAATCTGTCCATATAAATTATTGGGACCGCTTTCGGTCCCAATAGGGTCCAGTGAGCACTTTTCCCACTTGTTGCCCTATCTAGCTTCTAATTCGTTTTACTCTCAGTTTGGACCAAGAGATTACGAATGTTTACGTGACAAAAAACCAAACCATAACTAAATAAAGTAAATGAATATTAAAAATTATATATTTAGATATTATTAATTTTTGGTTAAATACCCTTTTTGGTTCCTCTACTATAGGAAAAAGCCCTTTTTTGGTCCCTGTACCGAAAAAATTCCCTTTTTGGTCCCTAAATTTTAAAATCTGGCCCCTTTTTAATCCTTCTGTTAAATTTTGGCTGACATGGTAAGTTAATTAACGGAAAAACTCATTTTGTTTTTTTACTAAATTACGTGGAAAATCCATCTAGAAAAAATTGATGACATGGTTAAATTTTTTTACTTTTAATTACTTATTTGCCCTCAAAGATTGATGACATGGTTAAATTTTTTACTTTTAATTATTGATTTGCCCTCAAAGATTGATGACATGGTAAAATTTTTTCCTTTAATTACTAATTTACCCTCTTCTTTCTTCCCCATCCTCTCTTTCCTCCGGCCTTCTCTTTTTTTCCTTTTTTTCCTTTTACCTGCAGTCAAACCCAAGAGTCTGGGTTCACAAGGAACCCAGCTTGCGGGTTCGCACCCAGGAGCCTGGGTTTGCAAGGAACCCAGCTCGTGGGTTCACACACAAGAACCTGGGTTCACGAGGAACCCAACTCGCTAGTTCGCACCAAGGAACCTGGGTTCGCGAGGAACCCAAGTCGCTGGTTCGCACCCAGGAGCCTGGGTTCGCGAGGAACCCAGCTCGCGGGTTCGCACCTAGGAGCCTGGGTTCGCGAGGAACCTAGCTCGCTGGTTCGCACCCAGGAGCCTGGGTTCGTGAGGAACCCAGCTCGCTGGTTCGCACCGAGGAGCCTGGGTTCACGAGGAACCAAGCTCGCTGGTTCGCACCAAGGAGCTTGGGTTCGCAAGGAACCCAGCTCTTGGGTTCGCTCCATCCGTGAAATCTCCAAGGCTTTCCTAGCCACTATAGTTTCATTTTTTTTTTTATCTTCTTTGTGTGAAAATGGGTTTGATTTGCTTCACCTATGAGAATTTGATATGGCAAATGAAGTAAGATTTTGATATGCATAACCCTTGAGAGTGATGTTGATGGGAAAAATATTGTAGACCCAAATCCAGTTGATGATAGTTGTTTTTTATGGGTTGGAGGAGACGGGATCGAGGGTTCTGAATCAAGTCAACCATGGTATAAGGTAAAGATCTAAAGAGTACATCAGTAACAGCTTAGCCATTGTTGCTAACATGCCACTTCTTCTTGAGAAGTTTGGTCTGAAAATGCACTGAAATTTCTTGTTTCTCTTGCTTTAGATTTTGATTTCCAAGTCTTGATTCTCAGTTTCTAGTTTGTAACGAAAATGATTGTGTAAAATTACACCTGTAAAGATTATTGTGGATTTTTATCTCTCCTTTTTTTTGATCCGTTTCATTTCTATTGTTTTTTTGAAAATTGATGAATTATGAATTCCGGAAGAGATGATAAACATAAATATGGAAAGAAGGAAGTCCTCTTCTCTCTTTTCTTTTTTACCACGAGAAAGTACTAGATTCCTCGCGAACCCAGGCTCTTGGGTTCACCTGGAGGTAAAAGAAAAAAAAAAAGAAAAAAAAAAAAGGCAAGAGGAGGGAAACGATGGGGAAGAAGATGAGGGTAAATCAGTAATTAAAGATAAAAAATTTAACCATGTCATCAATTTTTGCCAGTCATCAATTTTTGCCAGTCATTAATTTTTTCCAGATGGATTTTCCACGTAATTTAGTAAAAAAAAAGAGTTTTTCCGTTAATTAACTTGCCACATCAGTGAAAATTTAATAAAATGACTAAAAAGGGGCCGGATTTGAAAATTTAAGGACCAAAAAGGAGATTTTCTCGGTACAAGGACCAAAAAGCGGTTTTTTTCTATAGTAGAGGGACCAAAAAAGGTGTTTAACCTTAATTTTTTGTATAGAATATTTTGATTATTTAGTTACAATTATACTTTAAACTTTTATGGTATAAGAAAAATATAGATAAAATTATATTGTGTTCATAATTTAAATAAT